ATGAACAATAAAATGGCAATAAATATATATCTATCAACAATTGAATCTAAAAAAACAAACTAAGCAAACAAGAACAACAGAGAGAATCATGGATACAAAGAGTGTTTTGATGGTTGCCAGATGGTAGGGGTGTGAGGAGAATGGGTGAAGAAGTGAGGGGTTTAAGAAGTACAAACAGGTCGTTATGGAATAGCCATGGGGGTGTAAAGTACAGGATAAGAAATGGAGTAGCCAAAGAACCTATGCATGACCCATGGACTTGAACAATGGTGTGGGGATTGCCAGAGGAAGTGGAGTCGGCTGGGTAGAGGAAGGTACAGAGAGAAAAATCAGGACAACTATAATAGCAAAATCAATAATACAAATATTACTTCAAAATTATGAATTTTAAGTTACTGCAAAATATGAGTAAAATTTTATAGTTCAGTACCTCAGCAATTTTAGTGCCAATTTTATTATTATATTTGGGAACATAGGAATGAATATTTATATAATTGGCTCTAAAAATAAAATAAATAAAAATTTCAATATATATATTAAAAAAAAAATATATATATATATATAAAACTTTAAAAAAGATTTAGCCACACATGAACACAAACACACTTACACATAAAGTCACTGGTTGGCTAAAGAGATGGTAAGGTCAAACAGCTTAAGCTTATTCACTCATCATTATTAGACATGTAATCACATAGCTGCTCTGGTTTCTAAAGAACCTTGTATCCAAATCACCAAGATCTTAAAAACATATCAAGACTCCAGAAAAATGTCCTATTACTTTCAGTCTCACTGATTTTCTCTTTGTTATCAGTTAAATCCATTTTACAACAAAATTATGTTAAGTGTCAGAATGTCACTTAACATCTAGATGCTTTCCTGGATTTTAAAAGCATCGTTTAATCTCCTGAGCTATGGTGAGAGTGTCAGACCTGAGATACCTACATTTTACTTTAATAAAATTTAATGTCAGTGAAATAGATTGGACCGTCTCTACTTTTTAAATCTGCTAAGACCTATATTTTTCAAAACCAGAACTAAAATTTTCACAGGATCCTTGGAATATTACAAAACAAAAAAGTTTTCACAGCAAAATTTGAGAGAAAGGTACACAATTCTCAACATACTGGTAGCATACTTTCTATTTTCTCACTCCTGTTTTATAAAGTATAATGCCATTCACTAGAGTAAGCTCACAAATGTTAACCATCACTGGTAAGGCCTCGAAACTCAGCAAACAAAACACTGATGCTGAGAAAACACGTCTAGGAAGCACTGTGTGTGCATATGCATGTTCTCAGCCTCTGCATCATTCATCCAGTAAATCTGTATTGAGAACTTAAACTCCAAACCCTGTGTTAGGCACTGGGAGTTAAAAAAACTAGAGAGAGACAAGTTGGTGCTTGTGGTCTAAGAGGACCATATTTAGGCTACACATAAAATGGTAGATGAAGAATACTACTGGTGATTCATATTGGACGTTTTGTCAGTTAACCCAGTAGCTCCTAGCTTACTGCAGGGTTGCACTGTAAAAGTACATTTGTAGGCTGTAATAACATCAATATCCAGGTACAATATTATACTGTAGTTTTGCAAATTATTACATTGGTGGAAACTGGGCAAAGTGTGTAAGGGATATCTCTATTATTTCTTACATGTGTAGGTAAACACATAATTATATCAACGAAGAATACATTTTGAGCCTTTAACTTAGATACAAAAGCAACTTTTCATGGACTGCCACAAACAGCAGTTGGTGTCTAAGATCAGCCCATGGTATTTTTATTTAACTTATAACACTCTTAGTATTAAATACAAGCCTAAATAGCTCAGGTCCTCATTCTATTTAGTAGGATGACAGTAGCAGTTTCCTATCCAGTCATCCTATTAATGCCTCCCAACTCATAATTTAATTAAAAATTTGGTTATATCATCTCTTAAATTAAAATCTCAATGGTTTCCAAACTTTATATACAAAGTTTCTCAAGATGTGGCTCCTGCCTACCTTTCTAACCTTTAATGCCTGCCACCAGGCCAGAATATGATTTCTCTCTCAATCTCAACCCTTGCACAGCTGTTTCCTCTGCCTGGAATGCCTTCCCCACTACCCAGCTGGCTGGCAAATGCCTGCTTGCTCTTTACTTTTCATGACCACTGTCTTCTCTTCTCAAAGGCCTTCCCATCCCTTGAGATGGCTTTCCTAGCAGAACAAGGCCCTCTCTCCCCATCTGCCTGCTCTTAGAGATCCTTATCCATGCTTTAGCAATGTACTAGGGGGACTCATGTCTCACCCGTTTTAAATTCTGGAAGGCACACTAGCAGCCATATTTCCTTTTGTCTCCTCAACACCATCCATAGTACCTAGCATTTGGAAAGCACTCCAGTGTTTGAGTCCATGAGCCTAAATTGCAAGTGGTAGGCTATTTCTCTGACAGAAGTCAGTCAGCAAGAAAGAAAGGAGAAAAAATACTGGTTTTATTTTATAAAAGAAGAGTTGGAAAATGGTGTATGGAACAATTACTAAAGAGGTTGCTTGGGAGGCTGTCATGTATATAATGTATAAAAAGAACAGTAAAGAAAACAAAGCACATCTTCTATACTACTCAATTGAGAAATTATTCTCAAGTGTAAGTTATAGCAAACCACAAAGGGAAAGTAAGCCGAGGCAATGGTAGTCACATTATTTCCTGACACTCTACCCAGCAGAGGCTACTGTATGGATATTAATATAGATGTAACTGCAGGTATGGAACAAATGAGATAGATTTAGATGTGTCAAGATAAAATCATCCATAAGCTACATCAAGTGGGAAAAAGCAGGTATAGAACAATCAGCTCTCATTTGTATAAAAAAAGAGGAGAAATGGAAGATAAAAACCTATAAGCTTGAACAACCAAAAAATTTCTGTAATAGTTCTAGGGAACTCCTAGATGTAGTAAATAAGGCTTTGAGGTAAGAGGGAAATTTCACTGAATATTTCCTTTCAGCAGTAATTTTTCCTATGAGCATGTATCATGATTTCATTTTTGAAAACGAGTAATAAAAAAAGTAACCCTAGATAAGGATGCTTGAAATACTCAGCTTTTGTCACACTCAGAACTTATCCAACAGCTCGAGGACATCCAAGCCCCATGAAGAGGCCAAACATACATGCTCAAGTCAGCAGCCAGTGCTGACTGGCCTGAGAGCAAGCCATCCACCCAAGACTGAAATGACTGGCACTACCACCATCTGACAGCAACCACAGGAAAGGCCTTCAGTTAGAACTGCCCGCTGAAGCCCAGTCAGCTCCCAGGACTATTCCTGAGAAAATAGTAAATTGTTGTTTAAAGCCACAGGAAAAAATATAAAACTAGTTAGGACTTCTGTCTTAAAATGTCATCCTGATTGCATGCATTGATTTCTATTCTGTCCTGGTAGCCCACTAAAATAACATTAAAAAATTTTTAAGGCAAAAACCCACAAAGCAAAGAGAACTGAAGAAATGTCAAGGAAAACAGAGGAGAAATAGCTGCAGAATTTGGAAGCTGGAAAAGAGATTGCATAACTTTTAGCAGACCTAAGAAATCAGGGACAACTAATGGTATTTTTTAGAGAAAACCGAGCAGAAAAGGCTCAGTAGAAGGCAAGGGTGAGGCCTGGGCTTCTAAATTAGAGTATTAAGTAAAAATCTACTAATATCCCTGGCTGGGGTGGCTTAGTGGGCTGAGCACTAGCCTGTGAACCCAAAGGCTGCCAGTTCAATCCCTGGTCAGGGCACATGCCTGGGTTGCAGACTGGGTCCCCAATTAGGGGCATGTGAGGGGCAACTGATTGGTTTTTCTCTGGTACACTGATGTTTCTCTCCCCCTCTTTCTCCCTCCCTTCCCCTCTTTCTAAAAATAAAAATAAATTTGAAGAAAATCTACTAATAATAAGTGGAGCCCTAGCCAGAGAAGTCAATTGTGAGTAGAATAAATGTATTTTTACATTTACCTTCTAATCACATTTCATAGTAAACTACTGGAGGCCATGCTTACGACAAAATGAGGGTGAAAACCCAGAAATTGGAAGGCACACGACAGAAGAAATGAGGAGGCCAAATCGTGAGGGCAGGTAAGCAGTAGGCCTGCAAGCAGCCAGTTCAAATAGGAATGGGACCACAGGTGCCTCTAGAACACAGGCATCTAGGAAAAAGAGGGAACCGATACACTATCTGATTTGTGTGCACATTTGAAAAAGCTGCCCACAGACATGAGACAGACCCAGTGGAAAAATGAAAGACTGCTACACAAAAATTTACAAATGTGGAGAAAAGGTGAAGCAGTTAATAAGTTCTAGAAAAGCAAAATGTTGTAAAAGAATGAAAATTTAATCACAGGTGGTACATAGAAAGTGATATATTAGGTACTTGTTTAATGATGCAAATCCAACTTTTAAAAAGCACATAACTAAATCAATTTCTTAGAATTTTTTATATGATGGGGAAACTTTAAATCTATAATTCCAATTTTATCCTAAGTATCTGATTCTTAATCTAAAAATCATTCAAAAAATGTGTCATAGTATACTTTAACCAAAGATAATATATATAAACATACATATTGTGAATATGTAATAAATCATGTCAGGAAAACCAAGTACCCTAACTAATTCTATATGAAAACCCAATTACCTAGGAACAAATAAAGCAATATAAATGTGAAAGATTTTTTGTAAATTATACCTGGTTGTATCAACCTACATATTTATAAAAATTTCTTTACTATAGTTTGCTAAGAAAATTTTCAAATATGTGGGATGACTATCAAACATGTACTTTTTAAAACCACCATTGCAGAATAATTGCTATTTAAGACTCTAATGAAAATGAATAGCTTTTAGCTGGGAAAATTAAAAAAAGAAGCTGGATCAAAATGTAATAAATATAGGATGTTATGAATTTAAATAACATAAATAAAAATAAATATGTAAGATATATTAGCTGCATTATCAGTACAGAATCTTTTCCTTAACTTACCTGCCAGATAGAGGGCAAATGATATGAATCTATGGTAGCGAATGAGGAACTGAAGTTGCTCTTCTCTTTGAACAAATGTAGCAAAATAATCAGCTACAGTCTCTCCATAGAAAAAGTAGTTTACACAAAGTAGAAAGTACCTGTAAAAACAAAGAATTTTTTTGTATTTGGTGCTTTTTTTCCCCTCAAATACCATAAAACTATACACTTTGATGATGATACAAAGATCAAAACCAAATTCAGAAGAATGGTTCAGGATATATTCCACCAAATGCTTTTCACTTAATTTAAAAATTATCTGTCAACAAGAGTTTACTGAATATGGTTCATGCCTTTACTTAGCTCAAAATCTAATGCCAGAAACAGAGAACTAAGAAACAGACTTCCAGCCAAGATGGAGGCATAGGTAGACACACTGTGCCTCCTTGAACAACCAAAATAAGGACAACAATTCAGAAACATACTAACAACCAAAACTGAAAGAAAACTGAACTGTTTGGAAGTCCCCAAACCAAGGAGTTAAAATAGACACATTCATGCAGACTGGTAGGTGGGGCGGAGTCAGGTGGCTGAGCGGAGAGGGGTCACAGCACCAAACTGTGAAACTGGCACAGGACTGTGAAACCAGGCGCACAAGGCACCCCAGGCGCACAAGGCACCAGGCAGACCCTGGGCACCCAGGCGGCAGCTGGCAGACCCCAGGCGAGGGGTGGCAATGGGCAGACCCAGTGAGGCAGTGATTGAGAAGCAGAGCACCTTGTGAAAGGTGGCTGGCTGATGGCAGTGGTCCCACATTTGCATGCAGATAACTGGGGAGCAAGATAGATCATGCAACCCAGGGTCCTAGCGCCTGGAAATAAAGCCTCAAAATGTGAACTGAAAACACTTTTGGGGATTGAGGCGCAGGGAAAGACTCCCATCCTCACAGGAAAGTTCATTGGAGAGACCCACAGGGTCGTAGAACACACACAAGCCCACCAGCATAGGAATCAGCACCAGAAAGGCCCGGTTTGCTTGGGGAAAGTGGCGTAAGGGACTGAGGTGCAACAGAGAGTGGAGCAAAGCACCACGTTTCTCCCTCTTGGCCTTCCACCCCCACACACAGCATCACAAGCCAGGACTTGGGTCCCCCCGCCTTGGGAGAACACCTAAGGCTACACCCCTCATATGTAACAGGCACGAACAGACAAAAACATTATGGCTCAAGCAGAAAAACATCTCAAAGCTCCAGAGCCAATACTTCTAAGCAACAAAGAGATAGCCAACCTATCAGATGCACAGTTCAAAACACTGGTGATCAGGATGCTCACAGAACTGCTGGATTTTAGTCACAAATTAGATGAACAAATGAAGGCTACACTAAGTGAAATGAAGGAAAATGCACAGGGAACCAATAGTGATGGAAAGGAAACTGGGACTCAAATCAATGTTGTGGACCAGAAGAAAGCAAATAATGGCCAAACAGAAAAGAGTCAAGAAGCAAGAATTCAAAGAAATGAGGAGAGTCTTAGGAACCTCCAGGACATCTTTAAACGTTCCAACATCTGAATTATAGGGGTACCAGAAGGGGGAAAGGCACAGCCACCAGTGGAAAACTTATTTGAACAAATACTAAAGGAGAATTTCCCCAATCTGGCAAAGGAAATAGACTTCCAGGAAATCCAGGAAGCTCAGAGAGTACCAAAGAAGTTGGACCCAAGAAGGAACACACCAAGGCACATCATAACTACATTAGCCAAAATGAAAATGAAGGAGAGAATCCTAGAAGCAGCAAGAGCTAAGGGGACAGTCACCTACGAAGGAGTCCCCATCAGACTGTCAGCAGATTTCTCAAAAGAGACCTTACAGGCAAGAAGGGGCTGGAAAGAGGTATTCCAAGTCATGAAATCCAAAGACCTACAACCAAGATTGCTCTATCCAGCAAAACTTTCATTTAGAATGGAAGGACAGATAAAGTGTTTCTCAGATAAGATCAAATTCAAGGAGTTCATCATCACCAAGCCCTTATTATATGAAATGTTAAAGGGACTTACCTAAGAAAAAGAAGTTAAAGAAACATGAACAGTGAAAGGACAACAAACTCACAGTTATTAATAACCACACCTAAAATGAAAGCAAACTAAAAGGACAGCTAGATCAGGAGTGAAAACATAGAAATGAAGATCTCAAGGAGGGTTAGCAACAGGGGAGTGGGAGGAGGAGATGGGGGGAGAAGGTACAGAAAATAAGTAGCATAGACAGTAGATAGAAAATAGATGGGGGGGGCAAGAATAGCATGGGAAATATAGAATCTAAAGGACTTGAGACACATGGCCATAAACTAAAGGGGGGGTAAGGTGAGGATGGGGGGGTAGGGTGGAGGGGAATGAAGCGGGGAATAGAACAACTGTAACAGCATAATCAATAAAAAAATTTTAAAAAAATAAAAATAAAAACAAATATATAAAATCTTTAAAAAAAATGATGGAGAGAATCCTAGAAGCAGCAAGAGATAAGGAGACAGTAACCTACAAAGGAGTTCCCATCAGACTGTCAGCTGATTTCTCAAAAGAAACCTTGCAGGCAAGAAGGGGTTGGAAAGAAGTATTCCAAGTCATAAAAGACAAGGACCTACATCCAAGATTACTCTATCCAGCAAAGCTTTCATTTAGAATGGAAGGACAGATAAAGTGCTTCTCAGATACAGTCAAGCTGAAGAACATCATCACCAAGCCCTTATTTTATGAAATGTTAAAGGGACTTATCTAAGAAAAAGAAGATAAAAATATGAACAGTGAAAGGACAGAAAACTCACAATTACTAACTACCATACCTAAAATAAAAACAAACTAAGGAAACAACCAGAACAGGAACAGAATCACAGAAATGGAAATCACATGGAGGGTTAGCAACAGGGGAGTGAGAGGAGGGGGGGGGGACAGAGAATAAGTAGCATAGATGGCAGGCAGAAAATAGACAGGGCGATGGCAAGAATAGTATGAGAAATGTAAAAGCTAAAGAACTTGTGACACATGGACATGAACTAAAGGGGGGAAATGTGGGAGGGAGAGGGTGTTCAGGGTGGAGGGGAATGAAGGGGGAAATGGGACAACTGTAATAACAATCAATAAATTAAAAAAGAAACAAAATAGAAAATATTTTCTCTCACCCTCTTAACTACTCACTGCTCTAGTGCCTTCTCATAGTAGAGATCCTAAGCCAAATCCCTACCTGCCCTGCACATATTAGCATCTTTCTCCTCTCCTCAGTGCTTCAGATGGACTCCCTCCTCCAAGCTCTGGCTTATCTTTCCCCCAGGGAAAGGTTGAGCCCACGAGATGTTGTTGATGGTAGTATGTGTGAGCCAGGAAAAAAGGCTGAAACACGGCCCTAGAGTTCCTAGGTGTGTATCCTTTGAAGGACAGAGTCCTAGGTAGCCAGGAGAGCAGAAGAGGAAAGGGATGGCTTCCCTCGAATCTCATGGCTAATAGAATCAGATCCCACTGTTCTCAAAGGAAAAAGTAAGAATTTTTATTTGTATCAGCTGTGCTACCATTTTTCTTTTCTCCCACATTGGAAACTATCTGAGTCCTCTGTAAGGCTGTCTGGGCCTACTCTAGCCTACCAATACAACTTCTTGCCCTCTATCGCCTAATAAATACCTTCTGCTCAGGAGGGCCAGGAATATCTCACCAAGTGGGGCACATGCCTCCTCAGTCCCACGCCTAGAGTGTGATGAGTGCTGTTTCCCCAATCAGAACACTCCTCTATCAAAAGCCTGCTTTTACTTCAAGTGACAGGGTCTCTCGTCTTCTGCATGAAGCCTTCTACAATCACTGGAGCCTATCCTGACCTACCCTTTTCCCCAACGTTTACAATCAGTCCTGAATGGTTTCACACTTAATTATTCTCCAACTACTTAATCTACCTAACATTTCCCATATACTTTTCCACTCATGAAAACCAGCTATTACCAAAAATCAAGAAACTATTTTTGACTATTCTGAACAATAAAGGTGATACATTTGTTTTAAAAAACACTGGCCCCTCTGGCTGACACCAATCAAGGAACCATATTCAAAGGCATGGCTAATTAGGTTAATCAGGAACTGTCATATTATCATGTTTCCTGGTCAAGGCTTGATAAATAAGGATTGTCCCTGAAAAGTATGTAAAAGATATGAAACTTTAAATATTAAAACCATTACGTATTTTTACTAATTTTTACATGCATTTATGCACATACAATATGTCATGGGTGGGTAACTCAGCCAGCACTGTTTACAAGGGTGCCTCTACACTGCCTCCATCAGAGCCCTCGTCTCCCCCATCCCCATCTACTCTCACGTCACACGTCACGGGGCCAAGGGCCTGGAGAGGAGACCAAACCAGACAACTGAGGTGTGGTCATCTCTCCTTTCACCGCTCCCCTCTCCCACCCTGGGTCTATGAGGGCTGTGGAGAGGGTGGGCCCAACTGCAAAAGGAGGAAGTCCAAACATTCAGCCTGGACTTCCTCCTCCTGAATAAACTACTGATCATTCAAAAGATAAACAAAAACACTGCCTTTGCCAGTGTGGCACAGTTGCTTGGGTGTCATCCCGCAAACCTAAGAGTTGCTGGTTTGATTCCCAATCAGGGCACGTGGCTGGCGTGTAGTTGGGGGTGTGTGACAGGCAACCAATGGATTTCTCTCTCTCACATCAGTGTTTCCCTTCCTTTCTCTATCCCTCCTTTGACCCCTCTCTAAAATCAATAAGCATGTCCTAGGATGGGGATAAAATAAAAAACAACTATTTTTATATCTCATGTTTCATTCTTTGTAGAGATATCTTATTTTGTGTGTGGTTTCATGTCAACTGAGGAAGGGAAGCAAAACATCATACAATTGTAACATTTTACAAAATTAAATTTTTGCTAAAATTTTAATTATAAAGGATATCAAATGTGTCCAATATAAGGGGATTTTTTTTTACTGGACAGAAATGGTGTATATATTCAATATAAACTAGCTACCTCTATAAAAAGTGAAAGATGAGATATAAAAATAATTGTGTTGGAATGGAGAGTTGAAAGTGATTTTCTGCTTTTCAAAATTCAGTTGCATTTTTTAATTTATCTTTCTCCAACATCAATCTATAAAGTCTATTACATGAACACTGTTTGATCAGAATGCTGCTCTTATAAAGTTTAGGAAAGAGTCAGATTTCATATCTGAAAGATTTAAGTTACTTACCAGCTTAGTGTTCTAAACCATGGTAGATCATAAGAATGATAGACTCTGTAACCAATAGTGATAATTTCATGGAAGCACTTCACTTGGATGCCCAGAACCTGAAGACAAGAGAAAGCACTGACATGCATTCCTTAAAGCTTACATTTGTGCTTAATTGTTCAGTAGGTAGCTTGTTGAATGTATTTTAGCCTATCCATTTTTGATTATTCTAAATGTCCATAGTAAAAATTCAATATTCAATGTCCCAAAACTCAAGTGATGCCCCACAGGGGTAGGCAAAACAAGTTGTACTGAGAGACCCTTCCTGGGGCCAGACATGTGGGGTGGTTTCAAGGTCGAGGGGTATCATCTGGTTGGTCACAGGTAACTAGGCTTTATCATTCATCATAACTTTGTTTCTTAAGGTTGTCCATCTCAAGATGGACAATCTTTTTATCCATTTTGTTTCCTGAGCTACCTGAGAAAAATAATAGTATGTGAAAGTTTGCTTGATTATATTCATGTTGAACCATACACCATGGAATACTTGCCGAGGATAAAGGTCCTGTCAGGAAAAATGGTTGACACACTTACCCAGTCATCCAGGGGCTTGTCATGGACATTTCACTCTTCCAGCTATGCTGACTCCCCCACAGCCAGCCACACACATCTCTGATCACCAAGCACTGCTACCTCGGCAAATTATGAGCAGCTTTGTACATCTGCAGCCACTTTGGCCAATCATGTCTGTGCCATTCTATTTGCACAGTTTTAAATATACACACCTCGTAAATCAATTTATATATATGAGTCCCTTTTTCTGATGGTCTATTTAGTAGTCCTTCAAACTGCTGCATCCACCAATCTGGGTAAAGGTAGTCCTGAGGATGTAGCAGCATACACAAGGCTTGGCTTAAATCAATTCCAAGACTCAGAGTAAATGTAAGTGGAAGGCTTATTCTCGTGAACTAAGATTAAATCTTTGTGAATACAGCTGACTAACTCTTTTAAACTTCTAAGAGTATGCCAAATACTTCTAAGAGTATTTGGCATGTTGAACAATCCTAGAGCTAAGAATGGGTTTTATATCTTTTAAGAGATATAAAAACAAACAAACAAACAGACCCTGGATGGTATGGCTCAGTGTATTGAGTGCCGGCCTATGAACAACAGGGTCGCCAGTTTGATTCCCAGTCAGGGCACATGCCTGGGTTGTGAGTCAGGTCCACAGTAGGGTGCATGTGAGAGGCGACCACACATTGATGTTTTCCCCTCTTTCTCCCTCCCTTCCCCTCTCTGTAAAAATACATAAATATTTTTAAAATTTAAATGAAAAAAATCAAAGATTATGTGACAAAGACATATGTACCTTTTTTTGTCTTTCTTGTATGTAGTTTCTTAAAGCCTAGAATATTACTATCTGGTCCTTTACAGAGCAAGTTTATCAAACTCTGCCCAAGGACATACTTTGAGATTTCTTATATGATCCCCACAAATTAGCATTCCCAAACCTACTACTCAGAATACTTCCCCCACTATACCTACCACATGTTCAATCGCATACATAAAAAAGTCATTGTGTCCTATCATCCACATGATAAGAAATTATACCAAACCACTGTAAATAGTTCTTGTACGGAAAAAGCCATAAATGTGTTATAAAGACAAGAGGAAATTGACAAGAGGAAATTTAAATATTGTCCTTCAAATAAACTTTGTATGTAACACCAAAATCATTTTTAAACAAAAATAATCACAGACTTTAGATGTTAAGATAAAATAGCAAAGCCATGCTATTTGTAGACACAAGGACTATTAAAATATCAAACACATGGCCCTGGCTGGTGTCACTCAGTGATTTGAGCACAGGCCTGCAAACCAAACTATCGCTGGTTTGATTCCCAGTCAGGGCACATACCTGGGTTGCGGGACATATCCCCAGTATGGGGTGTTCTAGAGGCAACTACACAGTGATGTTTCACTGCCTCTCTTTCTCCATCCCTTCCCCAATAAAATCTTTAAAAACATATCAAACACACTGATGAAATTTCTGTGAATACATTTGCTTAAAAACCATTAGCTCTATATGTGGTATTTTACTGGGAGGAGAAAAAAGTATTTTTAATAGCACATACATTTATTTATATGATTGTCAATTACAGCTTACAAGTAGAATTGATATAGAACTGCTAGAAAAACAGAAAATAGGACTCAAACACTAGAGTTAAAATCCTTAAAATATATGTATGTCTTCCAGGGCTGGGTGAATATATAAAAACTGATACTCCACACCATCAATACTGGTAGCAATGCATATTGATAGAACTCTGTTGGCCCAGTAATGTGTTAAGAGCCTTAAAAACAACACCTATTATGTAGGTGCCTATTCTGCTAGTTACTGATAATTCAGAGGAATAATATGGGACATCTGTTCTCAGAGAGGCATTATCTGTTGTGGAGGACACACACAACTGTACAGTAACACCATGTGGCAACAGGCACATGGGTATAAATAAGCACAGGTAAACAGAACACTGTGGAAGTGGGTAAGGATGGGCCCCGGCTGGGGCCCAGGGGGAGGATCAGAGTTCTGTTTGCAGGAGAGGACGAGGCATGTGGTTGAGAGTTGCTGGCACACTAAGGTGGGATAAGGAGTGGAGAGAGACAAACCTGGTCACAGAATCGTAGGAAGTAGCACAAAAGACTTTGTGCTGACTGTGAAAGGACGTGATTAGACGTGAGTGTATGGGGACCACAGAAGTGGAAAGAACTGACTGGAGAGGCAAGACCCTAGCATCCGGAGGAACGTGGACAAATGTTTGACTGGAACAGTGGCAGTAGGGTGGAATACAGGAATAAGAGACACTGAGGAGGTAGAACCAACAGGCTTTGGTGGTTGAGGAAGTTGGGGACCTAAAGGAGAGAGAGGAACACAGAATAACACTAGGAAAGGCTTGGTAAATAGATTTATGCAGAATGGTTGGGGTTGGAATACAAGTTCAGGTCTGCATATGTTGAGTCTGAACAATGGTACCTGCAGGTTATCCAAATAAAAGTGCCTATTTCGGCCCTGGCTGGTGTGGCTCAGTGGAAATGAGCACTGGCCTCCAAACCAAAGGGTCATTGGTTCAATTCCCAGTCAGGGCACATGCCTGGGTTGAAGGCCAGGTCCCCAGTTAGGGGAGTGTGTGCACGAGAGGCAACCACACATTGGAGTTTCTCTCCTTCTCTTTTTCCCTCCCTTTCCATTTGTATAAAAATAAAATAAATAAAATCTAAAAAATGTACTTATTTTCACTTTGGGGGAATCTATTCAAAGAAAATTACACTGCATATGAAAAGGCTTTACATTCTAATATGTTTAGGATAGTGGTAGTCACAATAGAGAAACACCAGGACACAACCTGAATGTCTAAAAACAACACAATGATTTAAATAACTTAGGAGGGCTCCATTCCATTGAGGACACTAATGTACTAAAGCTGATGGTTGTAAAAACTGTAGAGTAACACAAAATATTTGATAAGGCACATAGTTTACAAAGCAGGATACAAAATTTTAGTCATATTATGACTACAATCATGGTCATATCTAAAACACAAAAGAAAAAAGGATTAAAAGAGGCATATCAAATGGCATTGTTAATTGGGTTTTTGTGGTTAATAATTGGGTTGGGGTGATTTTTAAAAATTATCTACTTTCTGAAGTAAGTTTAATATACTTTTATACTATTGCAATGGGGAAATTTTTAAATATAACATTAAAAAGTAATTTATATAATATATATTAAAATAATTATTATAGGAATTTCTAAGAAGATATAGGGGAAGGACTCCTACAATATCTTCTCTATGTGCACATATGCTTTAAATCAAAGTATGCTTTCATAACTCCATCATTTAGAAAGTGTGACTGATTCCAAGCTGTGAATGCAATAATCAAAGTGCTGTAAATAGAAGTCTGAAGGTAAAAAGCTCACTTCAAGGAACATGAGTGTGAGTTCCATCTTAAAATAGTAGCTATCATTTCCTAGAAGTAAGTTTTTAATAAAATTGTCTTGGATTAGTCATTTTCAAGTACTTATATTACTAGCAAATGCAAGCTAGATACAATGTATATGACTCAAAATATAAATGACCTAGTTAGGGATATGAATGTAAATAAGACTTTAAAACACAGAAAAGTAATATTAACAGCATGTAAATATTACTGTATAACAGCATGTACATATGTGTCTGTGTGTATATGCCTCCATATTCCCTTAAGATAATGTCATAAATATAGCACACATATGTATGCAGGTATAGGTGTGTGCAGACATGTGTGTGTATGTGTGTGCTCAATCAGAGCAATAACAGTTCAAATTTTTAATATTCTTATATATACTTTAATACTTATATTGTTCTCTGATTAAGTTCAAAGAAATAACTTGTAATAGAATAGTATTTTCCTTTCATAGTAGAAAAAATGCAGAAAAACCACAAGTACTTTAGGTATGCTTATGATTCTCTTTTAAAAAATCAGAATCCAAACATGCAGGGATGTCTGTAAAAGTGTTTTGAATTTTGTCATAAAAGAGTAGTTAAAAATTAGCTTCTATCTACAAATTCTGGTCCTAGCTACCACACTAGACAATTTAGTTGGAAGACAATGTCACTCATTCACAGGGAGCCCACCAAATTAGTCTGAGTCAGGGTATCAAGGATGTGGGTGTTTTGTAATATCTTGATCAAAATTATCTTCTAAAGGAGAATCAAAATTCAAATAATCCACAATATTTTCTGTGGCTCCTCAATACTTTACAATTAAATACCAAGCTTCTTCACATAGCATTGCAAGGTCCTCCAGAATCTGATGCCTAATTATTCTTCCAGGTTCAAAGGCCCTGTGCTCTAGGAAAAGGGCATCAACTGCCTTCTCCTGACACACCTCACTGTTAGGACCTTTGCTCACAGAAGGCACTCACTCCACCCTGATAGAGCCTCAAGGTCCACTCAAAGGTCCCTTCATACACAAAGCCTTATGAGCTGTCTGCCATCATCTAACCCCTTCTTCCCCGGGCTCTACCACTCACACAGCACTGAGATGTGCTTTGCACACCCTCACTCTTTAAATGCCTATGTCTGGGCCAGTGGCAGTCATTCGGCATAGCCCTCAGTGGATTCAGACTGAGAAGACTGGGAGCTGGGGCCCTTCTCTCCCGTCACACGCCACCTACCCGACTTTTAGACTCAGCATCTTCTGCCCTCACATTAACTCAGCTCTACCCATTATTCACCTTTCTTTGTTAAAAACAACAACAACAAAAAAAAACAACTTCTTAAGATGTCATCAACTTAAAAGAACACAAAGAAAAATTTCTTACTCATTTTTGTGACCTCGATATCCATCCCCAAGGAAGTACAAAGTTAATGACAGGACAAAAAGAAAAGTGAAAGGGCTTTGTGGTGCTTAGAAGAGCTACTTTAAGTGGTTACTTTAAGTGGTTTCGGGGTTTGACAGAATTTTTTTCTAATTGTATCTATTTTCAGTTCAAAATGTATTCTTTTGTAGACAAAGAAAAACCCTATCATACTGCCCGCAGCTTAGTGCTCTGATAGGACTGAGCATGGTGGGGAAGGGGGTCAGCCAGGTGAAATAGGTAAACAGACTTCTAAGTGGGCAAGAGCATCCAGGAAACAGAAAGGCGAGGAGTACATAAAAGGAGGCTAAACAAATGGAGATGGGAAGAAGAAACAGAAATAATAAAGAAGGGATACACTCTGCATATTCTTGAGAGCAGGCTCTCACTGTTCACTGCTGAACACACTGAGCACCTGGTAATGAATCTATTGAACAGATGCATTTCTCCTTCCACTCCTACCACTTTGGGTTTCAGATGCTTCATGCTACTTCAGATATCAAGGCTTTTGCACACAGGAGTCCTCCACTGTGACTCTCCTTCCCCCAAGTTCCTTCTGTCACCATGCTGTCTGTCTTCAGACCACAGTGCACATGCTGGGCTCATGTCTCTGAGAAGTCTCCCAGCTCACCCTTTGCTCTCATAGAATCTTATGTCTGATCAACTATGTATAATGTAGATAATGAGCGGCACAGACAGCTGCATTTTTCTCAGCACCACTGCACCACACCCCAGAACAAGCACAATGCCTGGCACATAGCAGGCATCCCAGAAGCATCTGCAAAAGGAACGAATTAAAAGCTTAAAATACTTGTTTGGCTTTAAGACTTGTTGGGCTTCCCATACATGACAAAATCCTCAACTCCCAGGATAGCCTCTGCTCGCCTCTGTGGTTCATCCCTGGATACCCTGCACGTGTACAACGAGCAGATCCCCAAACAGACCCCATGCTCTCATCCCCCCTCTGCCTTGCCCAGGATGCCCCTCCCCAGACGGCCTTCCCCTGCTCGGTCCCTCCTTCAGCACTTGGCTTTGGCATCACCTCTCCTGAAAGTCTTCCTTCACCTCTGTCTCGAGTTGTTTTAGGCACTTTTTACTGTGCTCTCCCAACAAGTTCTATCATGAGATTTACTTACCTCATTTATTTGCTATCCTACTGATTTATAAGGTTGGTTGTATGCCTCTGCCATTTGATTGAGTTCCTTGAAGTTAGGGACCTAGCTAATAGTCACGTACGTTGAAGTCATGATGTGTTAATCTCATGCTTCGCACAATGTCTGACAAAAAGACATTAACTTGATCTCTGCTGAATGAACACTTTCAATGGACATTTTTCAAACAGACAAAATTAGCCCAGTTCATTTCATGAACTAGAAGATGCTTAAAGGAACTAAATTTGCTGTTACCAAGCCTTACACTACCTTCTTTTTCATGACATGCTCAAATTACTTCAATATCAATGCTGAAAAACAAAGCAAGAGATACTTAGGGAAAGGTAAACACTTACAAGAAGCATCAGCATAAAAGATCCCATATAGATGATCAGGAAAAACAATGAAATCATAGTTAGCGTAAGAATGCCACGAATCCACCAGTTTTTCCACCTGCAAAGAAAATGTTTATAAAGTCAACACTTAATGTGTTCTTAAAGTATTTTTTGTGCGTGGTTTCAGTATCGAGTTGCTAGACCTAAGGATTTCCCCCGATTATACTTTGAGACCCTTACTTCACCTTATAACGAAAAACAAAACCCAACCAACCAAAGAGCATTTGTTCACTCACTGAGAGCTAAATTATATATAAAAATTATGTTAGTCAAAGAAAAAAAACCTGATTTTTGTTTATTCTGAATAAGGATGAATCATGAGGCAAGGCAGTGAGGTGGTCAGTGTGGATATGTTTCCTGCCATGGTTATTCATAAGGGAAGAAAGAATAGGATGCAAAAGCCCTCTATAAAGATGGCCACTCATTTGGGGTACCAGATGATTTTAAGGAGGTACAGACAGAAAGCATGACCTTCCAATGAGAAAAAGTGGAGAACAGCTGATACAGAACGAAGACTGGCGAACAGAGGGATTTCTGTGAAATGAAGAAGGTGCCAAGAGGTCAGCCCCAAAGGACAAGGCCAGATTGAAAGTCACTTCCTTCTATCGCTCAGTGTGCTGCCTGCTTTCCTTGATCAGAGACAGCAGTAGAGAAGTATTTTTTTTATTGCTGTTCAAGTACAGTTGTCTCCATTTTCCCCGCACCACTCCCTCCCACCCCAGCCATCCCCACCTCCCACCCTCAATTCTACCTCCCTTTGGCTTTGTCCATGGGTCCTTTACAGTTGTTCCTGACAACCCTTCCCCTTTTCCCTCAATTGCCCCCCCCCATCTCCCCTCTGATCACTGTCAGTTTGTTCTTAATTTCAGTGTCTCTGGTTTTATTTTGCTTGCTTGTTTGTTTTATTGATTAGGTTTATCCTTGGGTCCTTTCTTGTTCCTTAGAGCAAAGCAACCTTGTTGGCACACCCAACTAGTTCCTGGCCAGCTGAGAACACATCTCCCCCAATCCCTGGGCAGGGTCTGGGGTACCCAGCTTCTTCTCGACCCCCAAGAGCCTCTCATGTCAATCCCCAGTGTACCTTACGAATACTGTCACTCTTTATGAGGCCATGACATGAAAAATGTCACCGGCAGCTGCTGTATGAAACATTGAGAATGATTCTAATACCGCCTCTGCATGGATGATGATTTCTGAATGTAAAATGGCTGCCTCTCTGCTTTTACTCATTCTAAATGCATTTTATATTACTTACAATGAACTCTTTTTCTTTAAGACTTTTCTGATTTCTATTAATTCTAATGATAGCATTTAAATTAGTTACAAAAGATCTGTATTCAACTTTGTAAATATAACATATATGCACAATGTTTAAGCAAGGCTGTTATTCTCCTTCCCATGAAATAAATATTTGCCAATTTCCTCTATTTATCAAATATCAACATAGTCCAGATACTTTTTAAATATCCCTTTTATCAGGTCATTTCTGTGCTCAAGATCTAAAATGCCCACATTAAGTCTAAATTCTTTTTTTTTAAGATTTATTTAATTATTGTTCTTAAGTCTAAATTCTTTTATCTCACTTCCAAGGTTTTTCAAGAGGTGGTCAAATTCTACTTAACCAACTTTATTCCCCTCTATTGTTTAACAAACTATGTAGAGTCATAAATTTCTCACAGACTATAAGCTTTGGGGCTAAAATGAACTGGGCTGAACTGAAATGAATGTAGAGTCAAAAATTCTCTAGCTGAAAGGTTCTATTTAGTTTTATAGATATAACCCTCTATGGATTAATGAATGGATTAGGAAACTGGGCTAGGTCACAGATCTGATCAAAGGTAAATAAAAGACCATAAACCAGTCCCCTGATAATAATCGTGATTTGCCTACACAAAATCCAGATGTGTCTTAGTCCTTTATAACTCATCCTCAGACTCAGGATTATCGAGAACCTCTTCTAGTCAAGAGGACACTGCATGTTAGAAATCAGCCCCTAGGTAGATGTTGCCAATGTCTGTGTCTACCTCTCTTAGATGCCTGGCTTTGACCTTCAGAGAATGGTCACTGTGAACCAGCCACTGAGAACCAGAGATTTTAAACAGGGAACCTACTTTCTTCATATCACCTAAAATTCCTCAACAACTGAAAATGGGGATCCTAGAGGAACACATTATGCCTGGTTGTCTTTTATATGGATATTTGCCCTCTGAGAAAAATTCCCTTCCCCCAGTAAGATCGAAGACTTACTTCTCTTATTTATTTTAATTTAACTGACTCCCCAAGTTCCCCAAAAATACCTACTACAAAGTTAGGCACATATTTAAACATAACATATGTATCCACTGATATAGTAGCCAAAAGTCATCTTTCAGGAGAGAAGCACTGAATTTAACACATGATATAAAAAATCAAATAAAATAATTGTTACTATAAATCAGAGTCTGATTCTGAATTTAAAATTCTCAATTTCCTTTACCAAACTCCCATGATTACATTACAGAAAGCCTCAATTTTGGTACCAAGTCATCACCTCACAGACTGTTTCTGGAAAAAGGAATTTAGAATTAGTAGAGGAGAATTTCATTCAAATTTCATGTCTCTAGGAGCTACCTGAGCCAGAAATGACATTTCTGAAAAGTATATAATTAAGCAATATCCTTAAAAAGTGATGATCGAAGTGGTTACACACATTGTTCAAATCAATCTGGATATGTACAATGACTTACTGTTACTACCATTATTAATTCGTTTTTATGTCAAAAGTAATGACAAGTTAAAACAAACAAGAAAACTAGTGCCAAAAGTATCAAGAACCTGAGGCTGGCAAGCAGTTCACCTGAGCCAAGAACTATGACACGGAGGCATGCCTCAAAAATGAACAAGAGCTCAGTGGACCATCTGGCAAATACAGGGAGATCTGAGAATGTCTATCCACCAGCCTTGGAGAAGGTGGACAGGAAGTCTGCAGGTTCCCAGAAAAGAAGGAAGATGGCACATGCAGTATAAGAGCACCAGTAAGGCTATGTACCTGGATACTTCCTTGGTGCCTCAGCCTCAAACTAGTATCATTTTGTGCCAGATAATTCTTTGTTGTGAGGAGCTCTTCTGTGTACTGCAGGGTGTTCAGCATCCTCCTTGGCCTCTACCCACTAGATGCTAGTAGTAATGTCTCTCATTGTGACGACCAAAAATGGTCTCCAGACATTGCCAAGTGGCTACTGGAGAGGTGGGGACAAATTCCGGGGCACTGCCCCTGGATGAAAACTTCTAAACTAGACTGTGGCTAAAAGGTGCACTAATGAATAAAGCTAGACTTCAATAGCTAGTGAATATCCATACATACACGTCAAGAAACAGATTGGGAGAACTTGCCAAATGACCGAAAACCTTTCAGGCCCCTTCTAATTTCCACAACTTAAGCATTTTTGACATATTAAAACTTCAAAAGTGAGCTTAAATCTTCAACAAGAATTCACTTTTAAACTTGAGACACATGGTCATAAACTAAAGGGAGGGAATGGTGGGGGAGGGGGTGCAGGATGAAGGGGAATGAAGGAGGGAATAGAACAACTGTAATGGCGTAATCAAGAAAATTTAAAAAATAAAAATTAAAATTAAAAAAAGATCAGAAACAAACAATATAACAAACTGTCTTGAATGTAATGCATTTTGAGCTACCTGTCAGGAATATAATAAAAGGGAATGCTTTTACTGGGTAAAAAAAAAAAAAAAAAGAATTCACTTTTAAGATTTTATCCTAAGGAAATAATTATAGATGCTAAATAAAAGCCATCTATAAACAAAAATGTTTAATGCAGAGTTGTTTTTGATTGTGAGAATTTAGAAATCAGCTAAATACCCAGCAATAGCTGGTTGGTTGAGTAAATTGAACTACAGTTATACAAAGGAATCTATCATGCAGCCATTCAAAATATTTAAATATATTTAAAGGTATTTATTCCTAATATGACAGAATGATAATAAAAATAGAAAGGCATGGAATGGCACAATGCTACTTTATACCACACACACACACACAATGCATACAAGAAAAAATGTTTCAGAGTGAACACCATGATATTTTAAATATAAACATTTTGGTGAGAGGATTATAGGTTTTTTTTTTCCTACAATTTACGAACATTTCTTATGTAATTAGTACTTTTAATCTTATGCATCTATAACTCCTACGTCACTGCAAGGCAGATTATTTGAGGTAAGAAAGAGCCTAAAATGAATAAGATATACATTTTGAAACATTCGTGTAGTCTTTATAGTAAATTTTCATGAGAAGATTGAAATTGGTCACATACCATCTATTGTTAAATTTTAAAAACTAATTCTTTTTTTTAAAAATTTTATTTAGTTATTTTTCAAGTACAGTTTTTTGTCTATTTTTCCCATCCCAGCCTCCCCCGCCCCTTGCTCCCCACCTCCCTCCCATTTCCACCCCCCTTAGTTCTCGTCCCTGTGTCCTTCCTATTTGTTCCTCCAAATCCCTCCCCCATTTTCCCCTTAACTTCCCTTCCTTCTCCCCTCTGGTCACTATCCCTTGTTCTCTATTTCAGTGTCTTTGTTTTTTGTTTGTTTTTTTTTTCTGCTTGTTTGTTTGTTTTGTTGTTTAGCTTCCTGTTAAAGGTGAGATCATATGGTATTTGTCTTTCAACCCCTGGCTTATTTTACTCAGCATAATGCTTTCCAGTTCCATCCATGTTGTTGCAAAGGGTAGTAGCTCCTTCTTTCTCTCTGCAGCATAGAGGGGTGATGGACCCTGGCCCCTCAGCTTTGACTTAGCCTGAGTCCTCATTCTGTCTTGGCTGCCTTACTTCCCCTGCCTGACTTAAGCCTGAAACAATGATAGAGGGCTGTCTAGCCCTGTGCTGGAAAGGGTGGGTTCCCTACGGTGATCAGGCCTAAGAAAGAATACATTAACTCCTATGAAACCTGCTTTGCTAAGAATGCTCTCCATTAAATGATAAGGGTCCAAGCAGGAAATGAGTTTGATTCCCAAAGTTTTGTAGCTTCTTATCTGATAGACTCAGAATAAGCCCTAGTAGTTCTTTGTATGCTATCTAATGTTTGATCCTTACTACCTAACAGTCATTAATGAACTTTACCTGTCTTACTCTGCAAACTGAAACCCAATAAAAACCTGTCAAGGCAAGGGTCAGCGCGCTCTCCCCTTTAGCTGTGCTGTCCCTTTTCCTCCACAGGACTTGGTAGTTTGTATCTTATCCATAATGCCTTGGACACTGTGGGCCGGTGTCCGTGTCACCATATGACCTCACTTATAACAGAAATCTAGTGAGCAAAATATAACCAAAGGCATAGAATCATGTACTAGACTGACAGTGATAAGAGGGAAGGAGGGAGATAGGACTGTTTGAATGTAGGAAAAGGGATTAATCAAAAACCTTATAGGAAGAACCCATGGAGATGGACAGTGTGTGGGGGTGGATTACAGAAGTTGGGGGTGGGCTGTGTGGGGTGGGTGCACAGGGAAAAATTTGGAACAACTGTAACAGCATAAATAACAAAACATTATTAAAAACATAATTGTATTAAAAAGCAATTATTATTAAGGAAACATAGGAATCCAGTATTATTCTAATATAAATATATATAAGAAAATTTCATATCTGAGATAGACCTGATAAGATTTTAATGCAAAGATACAGTTGTCAATTAGGTCATGAAAACAACTGGGATCAAGACTATTAAAATAATCATGCTTTTAATAACAGACACAAAATATGTTCTATTGGTTAAAAAACTGAAAATTTTGCATCGAAGCAATTCTGATATCTCCTAGAAATTAAAAATAAAAAAACTCATATTACATTCAGTAGATATGACTAACCCATTCTTTTTGTTATGACTCAAGAGTAGTAAAACCAATTTAGTACATTATATCCAACATATTTTGTTCAATAACAGAATATCAAACAGAAAAGAAATGAAGGGACATTACATAGTAATGGCAAGAATTTCTTCATAGCATTTTTGCAGCAATTCATACATACATTTGTAGACTTCCAGTCGAGATGGTGACACAGGTAAACACAGCTTGCCTCCTCATATAAACACATCAAAATTACAAGTAAAGTAAGAACCATCACTCAGAACCATCAGAAATTGAGGTGAATGGAAGTCCAAATATGGAATTAAAGATACCATGTCCATCTAGACTGGTAAGAGGGGTGAAGAGGCAGAACGGGCTGGTCCCACACCCATGTGTAGTGTATAAAAATTTGGGAGGGATATCTCAGGAACAAGGAGTACCAGCCACACACAAGGTCTCTCAGCCCTGGGTTCCACTTCCAGGAAGATAGATCCCCACAACTTCTGGCTGCAAAACACCAGCAGTGATTTAATCAGTGGAAGAAACTTCTGGGGTCCCAAGTAGTTCCTCTTAAAGAACCTACACATAGATTTACTCAGACTCACCCACTACTCAGACTCACTCCCTCTGAGCTCCAGCACCAGGGCAGCAGCTTAAAAGGCATCAGTAGCATACAGGGAGGAACTAAAGTGTCTGGCATAAAGGAGTGACCTGGGAGACAGCTTTCTCCCTAACAAAATGGTGGGCACATGCCATTGCTCCTTTTCTGAACCCTCCCCAACAGAGCCACAGAGCCAGCAGGTGAGTGCATATGGCTGCATATGCTGCAGATATGCTGAGACTTCTTCAACGTGGCTAACACTGTTTGCCCCACCCTGGGGATGCCCTGATGTTCTATCCCATCCAACTTATGTGCCCACCAAAGCTGTTAATAGTGGCTTTTCCATATGCAAGGCTGATTTTGGCTTATGTTTCATAAGTTCCTAAAACCCCTCAAACAAGCAACAGCTGGTCTCAGTGAGCGCTCAGTATCCATATCCCTTGCTAAGTGACCCTAGGCCCAACACTAGCAAGCAGCCAACCTATGCTCATACCTTGGATTCAGCTGGAACCTCCAAGCCTAGCACAAGTAGCAGCTAACTGCAGGTTGTTTTATCGCTCATGCAGGGTAGCCCTGTGCAGACAGAGGTGGGGGTCGACATTAGCCTGAACCATCCAGGAAACCCCAGATACTCTGCACCAGTAGACAGCTACAGACCACATCAGAGTACCACCATCCTGACCCTGCAGAGCTGATCAACCACAGAGGTTGGGGGTCAATGGTCACAGCCAGTCACTGCAGCTGACTGGCCTGGGTAAATCCTCCTATTGACCTGCCAACAGTAACCAAGTCTCAACTACAAAACGAAGGTATATTCAGCCCAGATGGGTGATAGGGAAGCTGTGCTACTGGACCCTACAGAGCACCTACCTCATTAGGCCACCAAGACAGGGAGTCGTAGAAGTTCTATAGAATACATAGAAACAAACACAGGAAGGCTGCCAAAATGAGGAGACAAAGGAATATGGTCCAAATGAAAGAACAGAACAAAACTCCAGAAAAAGAACTAAACAAAATGGAGATAAATGATCAGATGCAGAGTTCAAAACACTGGTTATTGGGATGCTCAAGGAACTTAGTGAGGAACTCAATAGCATAAAAAAGATTCAGTCAGAAATGAAAGATACACTAATAAATAAAGAACAATTTACAGGGAATCAACAGTAGAGTGGATAACGCCAAGAATCAAATCAATGATCTGGAACATAAGGAAACAAAAAAACAGTCAATCAGAACAAAAGAAGAAAAAAGAATCCAAAAACATGAAGATAGTGTAAGCAACTTCTGAGACAACTTCATGAGTTCCAACATTCACATCATAGTGGTGCCAGAAGGAAAAGAGAATGAGCAAGAAGTTGGAAATCTATTTGAAAAAATAATGAAAGAAACTTCCCTAATTTGGTGAAGGAAATGGAAATGCAAGTCCAGGAGCATAAAGTCCCGAACAAGATGAATACAAAGAGGCCTACTTTAAGACACAGCATAATTAAAATGCCAAAGGTTAAAAATCAAGGAATAATTTTAAAAGAAGCAAGAGAAAAGCAGTTAGTTTTTCTCTACAGGGGCATCCCCACAAGACTGTCAGATGAGTTCTCAAAATAAACTTTGTTGACTAGAAGAAACTGGCATGAAATAGTCAAAGTCATGAAAAGCAGGGGCCCATGGCTATGATTGCTCTACTCAGTAAAGCTATCATGTAGAATCAAAGGGCAGATTAAGTGCTTTGCACACAAGAAAAAAATAAAGGAGTTCATCATCATCAAACCATTATTATGTGAAATGTTTAAGTGACTAATTAAGAAAAAGAAGATCAAACTATGAACAAGAAACTGGCAATAAATATATATTTATCAACAATTGAATCTAAAAAAAAACAAATGAAGCAAACAAGAAGAACAGAGAGAGAATCATGGATACAGAGAGTATTTTGATAGATACACTCTATCTGTACATTCAGAGAGTGGTTGCCAGATAGGAGGAGGGAAGGGGAGAATGGGTGAAGAGGTGAGGGGATTAAGAAGTACAAACAGGTAGTTACAGAATAGCCATGAAGATATAATGTACAGTACAAACAATGGAGTAGCCAAAGAATTTATATGCATGACCCATGGACATGAACAATGGTGGGGTTTTGCCTGAGGGAGTGGGGAATGCTGAGTGGAGGGGGGTAAAGGAGGAAAAACTGGGACAACTGTAGTAGCATAGTCAATAAAATATACATTCATGCACCTCTTGGGAAATGCTGTAAAATGTGTCTTTTGCTGCATGGCACCATCAAAAAAGATGGAAAAACTGTTCCATACCAATATTTAAGATTTCATATTAATCCAAATAAAGGCTTACATTTATATTGCTTCTATAAATGTTATAGTTTATATTATTAAGGCATACAATTGAGGGCAATATAAAACTAGGTACAATTTGTTGGTGATTTCACATTTTAAAATATAAAATATAAAATGGTAAAGGGTTGTAGTTTTTGGACAATAATTTTAAACTCAGTTAAAAGAAAAAAAAAGACCTATTTCTGTTTGGCTTTTTTTTCTTAAAAAAAGGAAGCAGAGGATATAGAATGTTCCAACACCAGAAAAGGAAATCTGCTTTGGTAAATACACCAGTGGCTTCAGAGATCAGACATTCTGGAACAAGAATCCCAGGCCCTCTTCTTCCTAGCTCTGTAACCTTCACCCAGTTAACCTCTCTGATGTGGTTTTCTCACACTTCACAAAACTTTAAGGATTAAATAAAAGGATACACATTAAGCATCCAATACCTTATACGTCTAATATACAATGAAAAAGTATAGGTCTTCTCTTTCAGAGTCCCAAAACTTAGAACTAGTAAAACTTATTACATGGACCCAGAAAACATCACACCTTATCTTGTGCACCCATTTATCTTCATGCAATCATACCTTGAAGATAAACCAGACAGAGCTTTCTTGAGGATTTCAGGGGTTCTATCTGAGGATGGTGAAATTTCTGGAATGTCGGAATCTGTTCTGGAATCCAAATCTCCGTATCTGTCATCAATATCTGTTTCCTAAAATTAAACAGCAAGGAAGATCACTTTGTAAAATAGAAAAAGATCACACACTTGCCAATGCATTTATTTATTGCTGTGTGTGAAATCTCAGTTACATAACTTGAAACAAAGAAACAACTGTTAGCTTACCTTGACTGTCCAATCTCTGTTGTACTTCCTTATTAGGAAAGTTTGATTATCTTTGCTAAAATCTATCAATATAAGGAATTCATTTTAGAAGATATACAAAAAGAAATTCCTATATTATCTAAATCATAAATTTACCACAAGAATCAAATATTTATTCTTTTGCTACTTAACTGGGAGAACATGGTGTTAATTCCATGTAGATTCTGATCAGCTATGCACAGTCCATCTTGTTATTTGATTACCATCAAACATCAACAAGAGTAATATCTTACACTAGCACAGAATTTTATATAAGTACATATAACTCAGTTTTGAAGTTGTTCACTATGCTGTCATGTAACAGTCTCCACTCCTGTGTCCTGCCCTCCCTAACCCGCCACACAACCCACCTTTAGTAAAGAATGCTACACATGCATGTACTGGGTTGGCCAAAAAGTTCATTTAGTTTTTTTCCACAGGATAGTAGCACTTAGTAGCACTTAGCATTTAGTAGCGCTTAGTTGTCTTTAACTTCATTGGAAACAATTTTGTTAGATTGTATTGTGACAGCTGTCATATTAGTGTGCATTAACAAAAGCCTATCAAAATTGCTGAATTCTTTTGCAGCCATTTTAATAGTGAAGATGGAAGAAAGTACACAACGTTTTCAGCATACTATGCTTTATTACTTTAAGAAAGGTAAAAACACAACTGAAATGCACAAAAAGATTTGTGCAGTGTATGGAGAAGGTGCTGTGACTGATCAAACATGTCAAAAGTGGTTTGCGAAGTTCCCTGGCACTACTGACATCTTGGCCAAATAATTCTGTGCTATGGGGCTGTCTTATGCATTGGAAGATGTTTAGCAGCATCGCTGGCCTTTACCCACCAGAAGTCAATAGCAGGAGATAGCTAACATATTCAAAATATACAAATCAATAAAGTTATTGGTGAAAATAAAAAGGGTGTCTTTTATTTTACAGAAAAAAACTAAACAGGCTTTTGCCCAACTCGATTCTTTGGGAAAGTGGTTTACAGAGGGGGAATTTGGGGCAAGGGTGCTCCAAATTCTGGAGGGGAGGAATGAGAAATGTTCAGAGGAGGTGAGTGCAGGCAGCCAGAGCACTGAGCAGAACACTGGGCCAGGAGTGACCCTAGAAATGAAAGTGCTTAGGAATTTAGAAGGTTCAGGAACCTCGAACCAAACAGCCCATATTAGCGCCTAAGTATCAGCAGATTTCATCACCCCCTTTGAATGTTTCTTTATCCATAAAATGGGAGTTTTTAATATTAATGTATAATGTCAATATAATGCCAAGGACTTAGTGAAATCAAAGAAGTGAGCTGTTATTACATGATTGAAGCAAGTTTTCCAGTTCTCATTAAGTAGCTTACCAAATAAAATTTTAGCCTTGGGGAAATATTTTTAGTTTTCATAAAGTAATAATAAACTTTTGTTTACTAACTGTAACTTTCTCACTCTATAATTATGAATTTAAATGACATGATACCATGAAATGCAACAGACATGTTTAATGACACTATGACACTGAGAGTCAGTTGGTCCCAAAATAGCTTAAACAGAAAGAAATGTTGCCTTACTAAAGCACCAAATGAAATATGCCCTTGAGAATGTTGGGGCAGCCACTGTCAGTGTGACATGCCACCAGGTCTTTGACACCTAGAACAATGGAGCATATCACTTTTTTTTCTTTTCCCTACTACTCTTTTTTTCTACCTCAATAAGCCAGAGTGCCATCTCTACTCTGCCCAGCAGAGTAACAAAGGGTAAATCACATAACCCTAAAAAACTCAGCTTTTGTTTGGTTTTCTCATAGAATAAAAGCATTGGACCAGAATTCAAACTGTGCTCCTCAAAATGCTAAACCTTTTTAGCAAACCTCTTCAAAGTCCACTTGGCAATAATGGTGATGTATAAAGACCCCTCTCTCCACCCCCTGAAGAAGGCTGTCCTGCTTTTATTGTTATTACTCAGGCTTCTGTTTTCTATTTTATACCCCTGGAAAAACAAAATGAAAAACTGAAGATTTAACTAGGCTTCTTCATTTTATGCTAATAACTATGGAATAAAGGGTAATTCTTAAAAAGTGCCATTTTAGAACAATTTTACCCAACTGCTGGAATTAGAAGCAGAAAGTTGTGTTCCTGCATTTCTCATATGGATCCTGTTACAAAGATGCCAGATCTGACAAGTAGACGGGAGTTTGATTGGAGATAATGGAAAGAAGGAAACAGTACTTTAATGAGCGAGTATGGCCACGCAGCATTGTGCATGCTGAATGAAGGTACTAAAATGTTTAAGAAAATCAAATTAAGAGCTTCTTCTCCAGCCCATAATTTAAATACAATAATCCTCCACTCTCCATTATAAGCTCATGTTCTCCCACCACCCGCCAGGTGATAAGCACCCTCATAATTTCCTTTGCATCTCTCTATACACTCATGACTCCCCATAAACCTGGGTCTCTAGCTCCCAACACACTATATCTCCAGGTGGATTTTCCACTAGCATCACCTGAAACTCACATATGAAAAATGACCTCTCTTTTTCCACACCAAACTTCCTGCCCCTGCTGTATTTCTTACTCAGGTGGAGACACCACCACCGAAACAGTTAACCAATTAACTCAGGTCAGGAAACTGGCTGTTAACACTTCATCTCCTTCCACCAAAACACAGCCACTTAGCACCAGCTGTCATTCACCTTTCCCCCATGTCCATCCTCACCCACAGCTTCCTGAGCCACCACCCTCTTTCTGGTACCTCAGTACCTCATCCTCCTGCCCTTTCTACTTTATTTTCAACATAGAAGGAATCTCTCTAAACTGCAAATCTGACCTTAACACCCCCCAGCCTAAAACCAGAGGACAGAGTCAAACTATTCAACACTGCTTCTACTGTTTGTTGTTCATGATGACACCTTGTTCTTGTTTGTACACCACACCATTCTTGCTCTTGCATCCAGATGTTTGTTGTCTACAAAATATATATTGTACATTTTCTCTGTTGCCCGCATTCTAATTCCAATCCTCCCTTCCTCATTGCTGAAACCTAGCTACTGCCCACTCATCCTCAGGCCCTGGCTTCAAGGTCACTTCCTTTACAAATGTCTTTCCTGAACGCCAGCTCCACGTTAGCTGCTCTTCAAATGTGTTTCCACAATTTCCCTAATTTTTACCTATTAGTATATATTAAAGGTATCTGTTTGCTTTATTGCTATCTGCATTTTTTGGTAGTCCACAGGCTTTGTAAGAAGAGGAAATACAGTCCATTGGCCTCACTCTTGAATCCCAGTAAATCAGCAGAGGACCTCGTACAGTGGCTGGTATTTATGAAGCAACATATAAGTGTGATGAATGAATTGAGCCTGTCAGCTCATGATAAAATTTAAGATTAAAATTAGAAGTTCTCATTTGTTCCTGCTCCTGAGTAGTCTCCACGAAGTCACTTTTGGCTTGGGACCTTAGTTCTACTTATGTAAAGTGAGGGCTTACTGACTCTTGTTCAAGTATAAAATTAAAATATGTCTGATAATTAATGGCTGAAAGCTGAAAAAATAAGTTTCTGTATTACCCTACAAATCAAATTCCTAAGGGAAAGTGATTACAAAATAAGAGCGAAAGCACTTGATAAATACTGATTTATTTATTCCTCATTTTACTGTATAGGTAGTTAAATAATCACCTCCATTTTGTAGGTAAAAAAAAATTAAGCCTCAGAAAGATTAAGTGCCCAAGATTACACAGCTCTAAGCAATGTAGCTGGGATTTGAAACCATACAGGAGGGTAATTAAAATGATAATTCTCTCCCAAATTGACCTCTAGATTTAGTGCAATCCCAATAAATAAATAAACAGGCTTTTTTTTGTAGAAATGTACAGGTTGATTATAAAATTTACATGAAAATGCAAAGAACCCAGAAGAGTTGAAACAGTCTGGAAAAAAAGACCAGAACTGAGGAACTTACACTACCTACAGTGAAGCTGCAGTATTGATGTAAAAGGAAAAATGATCAATGGAAAACAGACTGAACAGAGTCCAGAAATGGACCCACACAAATATGGTTGACTGATTTTCGATAAAGCTGAAAAGGCAATTCAGCAGACAATGTTGAAACAATGGATATTCATGTGCAAAAGAAAAAAGAAAGTAAAAAATCTTTGATTCATACCTCACACTGGTTACAAAAATTAATTTAAAATACATCATAGGCATTTATGTAATATGATAAAACTTCCATTAAATCTCTGTGACTTCCATTAAATCTTTGTATTACACAAATATTTCTTAAATATAACAACAAAAGAATGACCCATAAAACAAAAAGTTGGTAACTGGAACATCAAGATCTCTGCTTTTCAAAAGACAATGTAAGAGAATGGGAAAATGAGCCATAGACAGGAAAAAGATATTTGCAAGTCACATATCAAATAAATGTCTTCCATCCAGAACACATAAAGAATTCTAAAATTCAATTGAAAAACAACTAAATTAAAATACAGGGGCAGCCCTGGCCGTGTGGCTCAGTTGGTTGGAGCATCATACCATGCACTGAACTGTTGTGGGTCGATCTCTAGTGGGGCGTGTGTAGAGGAGGCAACCCACTGATGTTTCTCTCTCCCTCCCTCCGTCCCTCCCTCCCTCCCTCCCTCCCTCCCTCCCTTCTTTCCTCCCTATCTTTTTAAAAAAATCAGTGGAAACATGTCCTTGGGTAAGGATTTAAAAAATATGTGGGCAAGATATTTGAACAGACTTTTCACCAAAGGCAATACAAATCTGGCAAATAAGCATATGAAAAAATGTTCAACATCATTAGTTATTAAGGCAATGCAAAACAAAACCACAATAAAATACTACTACATATCTAT